ATTTTTTTAGTATCAGTTCTGGAATCTAAGATGCTCCAGCCAGCCTTGTCAAATTGCATTTGTGAAAAGATTAAGGTCTGGAAAGCCATCCAGAGTGTGAAATGTTGGTTTAGGGTTTATATAGGAATTACATAAATCTATTCACTGCATGAAAGAGACAAAAAAGAATAATCTTTGTGGTGAGGTTTCTGGTACTTCCTGGCTGTGGTCAAGTCAGAAGTCTCCTGTGAGTGTCTTCAAGCATTTCTGCTTCCCGCTTCAGACAAAAGCAAAAAGGATGGAGGCAAAGAAAGCTGTGAAAATAGAAAAAAATCTTTAAAAAGAATGGCGGGAGAGTGTGGGTGAATTTCAGGGGGAAGTTTACCTCTGATAGTTTGTCCATTCCTTATTTTAATAAATACAGTGTTACCTCCTTGTTTTGTCAGTGCAAGCCATGTTGGTTGACACTTGGCCATGTGACCTCCAGTAAAGCAACTATGGATTTGAATTTTCTTTTATACTATGGGACATTAAATTTCCATTGTAAAATAGTGTTAGGCAAAGCAAAACAATTTTCTGGTCTGACTATATTTGTTGAGTTGTAAAATTGCACTGCAAATCTCAGGAGAACATGATTTTTATAATATTTCCAACATGCTGTAAGGCCAGCATTTTGACAGTTTGTTTCCTGTTCTCCAGAGGGAAACCAGAAATGTAAAAACATGTGAAAAGACAGGACAATGTGCAAACATTTCAAAATCTAACAGATGCTTCTTTCTAAACTGAGCAAAAATTGGGTGTCTTATTTTTGCAACAACTGTGCCCTTTTATAAGTATTTATAGTTCTGTCTGTACTATAAATGTTCATATTTCTGCCTCTGTCAGGGTCATAAGATGTAGGCAGATAAAAAAAAGCTGATTCAGATTTCTGTAAAACCTTTGACACACCCCTATTTTAATGAACAACTCAGTTCATATTGTGGTTACACCCTCCATTAGCTGGTATTGCCTTGCTGCATGTACTGTGCAGTATATGTTTTCAGCATATGTGAAAAGACAAAATAAAAAGTTTCCTTCTTCAAGGTCTGTTAGAAATTTGCATAGAGCTTTATCATAGAGTTATTCTACAATGACCTGCATGGGACTCTCTCTCATTACACTCAAGATAAGCTTGAATTACAGTTTAGATTGAGAAGCAGAACCATATCTGACCTTAGTGAAAGTCATGGAGCTGTTTACATTCAAAGTTACGGTACAGCCCATGACAAAGACTTGTCTTAGTTGTAAAGTTTGATTCTGAATCTGATCCAAAGTTCTCCAAAAGACAGTAATTGGGTCGGGGGAATAGGTTTTTAGATCTTCTGTTGTGGTTTGTGTCTAACTCTAATTTAGTATGCAGCCAAACTTTGTGCTGCCTTGGTTCTAGCAGCATGGTTTGAGGAATGGCAGCACAGTACAAGCATGTTGTACCATGGCGGTGGGGAAATGGAAGCCCTGCCATGGAATCTCTGAGAGAAAGTTAAGTACCTCAGGCAAAGCTACCGCTCCATCTCCAAGCAGGATTCTACCAACGTCTGTGTGCACATCGATGCTCTGGACATAACAAGGACCAAGGCTGGGCTTGGCTAGCTCCCAGGAAGACCGTCTTCGTTCGCCCCGCGCTGCTGCACCTCTTCCCCCTATGGCTTCAAGAGCAATTTACCAAGCTGCTGCCCTCCCCTCCTCTACCCTGCTGCAACAGAAACTTTCTGCCTGTGCTTTCGCAGCCCACCCCACTGCGATACATAGCGACTAACTGCCCCACGTGGCTGCTGTGGCCCCCCCTCCTTCAGTTGCACTGGAACAACCCTGCATGCCCTCTGTCCTTCTCCCCTCCTTCCACCCCCTGACCCTTTCCCCTTGCAGCTGTGCTAGTGCATCTTAGCATTCTGGGCCACTCGGATCCCCTCTCCTTCGGCTGCACTGAATCAACGCCTTGCATCGCCCACCCCACCTGCATAGCAACTTACCCTACATTTCTTTGCTTGCTGCATGGCCCCATGGCCCTTTCCTTGCTTCATGCTCTATATCCAGTTGTTGAGAGTCCTTGCAAACATTGGGACTTAAGAAAAAATTCTTACTGCCTGACACACTAGTTGTCACCAGATTGACCCTAAGACCTTTGTCCGTTTTCACCTCTTCATCAATAACTTCTGACTCTGGAGCAAAGATTTCTGATGACTTTGCTCTGGGAAATTTGCACACTCCTGGGGTATGGACGTGGGGTCCTGTTACAAGTTCCCCTTTTGGGGTTCATGTCTTCCCCACTCCCCTCTGTTTACCAAGTACCAGTTTAAGCCGCTGTGCACGGTAGCGGTTTCTTGGTTTGTTTTATTCTTATATTACGCGGGTCACGCCGTATGGTTGTTTTCCCATACAGCACTGGATTTGCACCCAGGATACCGGAGAAGAGGGTTCGGGCCCTCCCTCTCTCCGAACCCCAGCCCAGGGACCTAGGTCCCTGCTCAGTGGAGGGGGCTGTGGCCCCTAAACTCCTCCACTCACTGGGTCCACGACCCTGCCCTGGGCAACATCTTCCCCAGTTCCGCGTTTATGTCCGACCGGTGGAGGCCGGGTTAAAGCTCACCCTGGTCGATCGCTCTCCTGGGTCCTCCCATCACACACTCTGGCATACACCTTCTCCGCTCTCCGGTCGCCGTCTCCCCTCTCCTCCGCTCCTCCTCCTCCTCGGGCTTCCCTACCTCCTTTTAAACTCCCTGCCGTGGCGTCCGGTGCTCCGCCTTCCCCGGCATCCCCGACCCCCCCCTTCCTGGATCATTTGGGTGATGTCTCAGGTGATGTCATCCATCTGCGCCCCTGGCAGTGGATGGGCCGCATCTCCCACTCTGCCGCCCACGCTCTCTCTGGCCGTTCCCCGACTGGGCTCCGCGTCTCCCTGGACTCCCCAATTCGGAGTTTGGGAGGGGTTCCCGTGCGGGGCGGAGGTGCCCTGTCACAGGTCCCCATCCAGGTTTGCATCTAGTTCTTATATACATCATGTTTTGGGTGCAGTACCAGAGCAGCTGTTTGCCTCTGTCAGCTTCTGGTGTGCCTGACAGAGTTATCTTGGCTTTGCATACCCCTTCTTGCATAGGGCTTTTGAAATGTGGCTGTATTTGTTCCAGTTCCTATTGGTCACTTGCAGCTGTGAGTACAGCAATTCTTCACCCCACACATCAATAAGATCTTAAAGCCCTGCATTTCTCCAAGCAGGAGAGCACTTTGAGCGACACTCACCCCTGGCTCACTGCGAAGACAGCATGAGGACAACTACACAATGAGCCAGGAGAACCAATATACTATGATCCAGACACCAGGAAATGGATTTTTAAAGTTCCTGGGGTTTGTAGGTGGGGAGAGGTGCATCTGTTTACTTGTTTACATGTCTGCAGAGCAGCAGAGTTCATTGTGCTGGCCAGAATAGCTAATCAGACACAGTGAGAAACATCTTGGAGACCAATAAACTCAACGTAGTGCATACTATGTGAATGTCAACAATAAAGGTGGGGTAGAGACAAAAGTCTCATGTGGAGGTGGAAGTTTTTTGTTACCAAAAATGGGGGTATGCCATTACTTTTGCTACATTGCAATGTGAACGCTCTCTGGGTTTTGTTGTCAGAAAGGGGTTCTTGGAAACAAATGTAGACAAGGCCTTAATGATGAGTGGTTATCTAAAGTCAATTTCATCAATCAAAGGGTCCTTCTGATCCCAAAGGACCAGCTACATACTCCATTCAACATGTAATTCAAATTTTACCCAATGATCACGCTATTGCCAATCCTTCAGTATCTAATATCAGTAGTTCCTTGACAATATGCTAGCTATATGCCTTGTAGGAGTAAACATTTGAAATACAGATATACAATTAATAATCATAACTTGTCAAATACAAAAATTCACATGCCCATAAATGGCATAATCATATGCATCATGTCATAACTTTTCCATGCCACACTTTATGCAAGATTTGTTGCAATTATATAACAGTAGTAGCAACAATGATCTATGTTGTCATATTTTAATCAGACAATGTCACACCACAGAGTACACGGCCATTAAAAAAGGACTAGGAAGATCCTCTACAAGGGCTGTCAGGGTTTAAAATGGAAAAAGTCTTTAGGGAGTGGTGAGTTTGAATTCTATTGCATTTTGCCTTTTCAGGGTAACCCTGCAAAACTGTCATCTTTCAACCCACAAAATGGTTAAAAACTGGTAATTTCCCCCCCAAAAATACGTTTTTCAGGGCATTGTCAATATTTCCTGAAATTTGCCTGAATTCAACAAATAGTTTCATCCAAAAATAAATTGGAAAAAATCTTTTGAAAATGTCAAAACATTTTTTGTTTTGACACTTTTAGAACAAAACATTTTGTTTTGAAAATTTCATTTTGATTTGACCTGAACAAATGTTTTTCATTGCTCCTCCCTAAAATGATTTTAAAAAGTTGGTTGCACTTCTAAACTCTTCTTGTGGGGATTTTTTTTTTTGGTTTGTTCTCCTGGTATCAGATGAGTAGAATCTGGCAGGTAGTTCAGGGTGGAAGGAGAGAAGAGGGCTTGTCTAATATTATTTATTCCCACCTCTGCACTCAGAGTTTATGAATTCAGGGATTCGGGTATTAAATGCCCACAGCAAGGGATGGGAGGCACATTTTAGGTTTTACTCACCAATGGGTGAGCTGAAATACAGGACTGGATGCTGAATGGCTCTCAGCCTAGTCTTCCTAAAACACAACCACCCTGGGATTTGGAAAGACTTATACAAAAATAGAATGGCTGTGCCTCTCAGCCCAAGTTAACTCCTGCTGCTTCAGTGCTGCCTCCCATACACAAATATCTTCTCCTTTCCTCATCGCTACAGTGCCAAGGAGGGAAAAGTGGGAGATGGAGGAGACAAGAAAATGAGAGATGCAATGTGCAGTTGGGGAGAGGTAGGGAATGACTTGCCCCATCTACCTCATTATAATTTTCAGTATCAAGCAAAATTCTTCTTCCTCTCTGCTACCATGTGGTTCCATATATAGTAAGCAACAACCAGCAGTGCCATTTAAGAGCAACAAAACCTTAACATTTAATAGGAGCCTCCCGATTCAATATGCAAAAATCTGCAGTTTCTCTTAGATGCCACTGAACTCTATGCTAAAGTGTACCTAGTTTCTCAGGTGCAATAGAGAGAAGTTAAATATTTGTCTACTCTGCCATATGCATCTTGTTACCCAAGTTAGGCAAAGTATTTTTAGTCCATGCTCTTATTCACCATCTCCAATCACTATATTGTCTTTATTTACTTGAATTAGAGGTGCAAAAACCCAACCAACCAAAAATAAAACCAAAAAACCCCCACAACCAAACAAATCTTAGTGCTTTCTATTCCTGTTAGCTACTTAAAGCTAACATAGCAGTGTGATAGAAATGTAGCCGTTTTAGTCTGGTGTAGCTGAAACAAAAAACAGGACTATGTAGCACTTTAAAGACTAACAAGATGGTTTATTAGGTGATGAGCTTTCGTGGGCCAGACCCACTTCCTCAGATCAAATAGTGGAAGAAAATTGTCACAACCATATATGTTTTTTGTTATAGCAGTGTGAGAATGTGAACATCTATTCTAATTGTATTATCATTTACATGACTTTTCTATATGTCCTAACACCTGTGCAATCTCACTGAAGGCAGTGAGGTTTCACAATTATCACTTGAGATACACTGTTAAGACATTGTGACTGCACAGGTGCCTTGAGGAAATTTTGGCTGGCAGAACTTTTTTTAGTGATGATGATTCATCAGGTTAAAAGAACCCAATTTCTTTCTTGGACTCCAAGCTGAGTTTTTGGGCCTGGCAGTTAGAGAAACACCATTTTATTTGTTTAAGTGAGTACCTTTTGACAATATAACTGCACAAATGTGAAAAGACTATGCCATTTTTAAAAAGTCACATTTCAGAGAAGAACAGTACTTTAAGTTTAGTTCTAGAACAAAACACCTCGACACAAAGTAAATTTTAATTTCTCTGCAAATATTTTAGTGCAAATTACAGAAAGCTATAAAGTTATACCAAATCAAGAAGCTATACAGATATCCTGGTGTCCAAAAGGATTGTTTGATTTTCCCGAATTGTATTGCTAAATTTTTTCATTTTAACACAGAATGCTTTTTCTACAAATGATCTGCACAAAATTATATATATCAAAGGATCCATGCAAATATTTGTAGTAGCTATCCAAAGAGTACTTTCTTTAGCAATGAATAAAAGGTTCTGTACCTTGCAGTCCATTTTATTGCTAGTTTGAGTTAGTGTGTATGGTACTCTAGAAAAATGATACGGAGCAAAGCATATAAAAAAGACCACTACAATGATGAATACTTTCCCACTAGTTCTCTGCTTGTTTTTTCTATCTTTCTTTTGAGTTTTTATATAAGACTTATAAACCTTTTTGGTAATAATTGCATAAAATATAATCATTAGAATTAGCACAGTCCAGAAGATAAACTGACATATATAATTGACAGCTGCATGCCATTTCAGTCCTAAGTGATTCTTCAGAGAAGCACATTTCTTCACAGACATAGGTGTGGCTTCATTGTTTGATAAAATCATATTTGGCAAGGAAAGGACGAAGAAGAAAAGCCAAACGAGACCTGAAAGAATTTGTGCGGCAGTGATATTTTGCACCCAAAACTTCCCAAAAGGTCGCACAATCTTGAGAAATCGGTCAAAAGCAGTAAGTCCAAGTAGTACTATGCTAACATACATGGTTTCATAAAATATCACAGCTGAAAAGCGACAAACAAAAGCTTTAAGTTGCCATGGTCCCAGTCCTGAATCAGTAAGAATTTTCAAAGGAAGCATAAGAGTCATAATAAAATCAGAAACCAATGTGTTTTTGAGGTAGACGATGAAAGTCGAAGAACTTGGAATGTGGAAAAAAGCCTTAATAGCCAAACTGTTCAATATAACTCCAGTGAGGAAAATAACAGTGTATAGGATTGGGAATACAATATGTACAATTCTGGTGTCTCTGTGGCATTGTCCAGAAAGAGATGTTCCATTGGTGATGTTGATGTTACTCCAGTTCATTGTTTAAAAGAGAAGCTGAAGATAAAAGTGTATTTTTTTTAAAAAAGTTAGTATTTATAATATGGCATGCTACAGACCTGTGAATAATGCATTCAGAAGTATCTTAATTCATTGCATTAACTACATCTGTTGACTAAATTTGTGCTCTATTTCCTGTAGAAATTAAACCCTTTCCCTTTGTAAACCTTTGGGAAAATATATTTTCTGGATTATTTTATTATTTTCTAACATACTATACATTAAAGTAGGACTCTGTTAGTATACTAACATAGATTGGTATCATAGCAGTGGCTAGAAGACAGTTTGTTCCATGGAACATTTAAAAAAATATATATATAACCTTGAGTATAAATATCAGGGTTAGGGCTTAAAAGCAACATGTTCCAAGGGGAATAACTGTACTGTGAATTAATAATAGCATACAGGTTTTAACATTTCTTGCTAAAAGAAAATTATATTTCATTTCTTAACACAATTTTAAAACATTCATCTGAGCAGAAGACATAAAAGCATAAGTCATTAGCATAATCTAAATACTGAATAATCTCTATGAATATAGGTATTTTAGGTACCTGGAAAAAGAGTTATGATAACAAGAAATTCTCCTTTGTGTTGAAGGAATACTTGGTGGTGGTTTCTATGCTGAATGAAATCTTCACTTGTACATTTAAGAATAGTGAAGTGTCTTTACAAGCGGAACACAATTGTATTTTTTTTCAATGTTCCTTCCTCATTTTCATGCACTAAGTTAACCCATTTTGTGTCTACTAAAGTGTAGAAGGCGGGGGCCGGCAAGAGATTTAAAAAATAATCGTCCAATAACGGCTTCTGTTTAAAATCTCCCCAAGGCCACAGATTCCTTGGCTTTGGATTGGTATTGCTGTCACCATGCAAATTCAAAAACACTTTTGAGACCCAGGATGAAGCAGTTGGGAATTTCTTCCTGTGGGATACCCTCAAGCTCTTTAACCCTCTGTAATTTTCTTAATAGCTGGCTTTTCTGTCTTAGGCATGTGCACATTTACAGGTTTTCAGAGAATAGGCTTTCCAGTCTGTGCCAGGACCCTCCATGGGATTCATGCCCTCTGCAAGGAACACATGAGTACATACACCACAAAGGATGCTCTGTTATGCAAGTACTGGTCAACCATCGGAACAGATTCATGTATATTAACATGGAGTACACTGGCAGGGTGCACAGTGTCAGGGTGTTCAGAGATGGACTTCATCTTCATGGAGCAGCTGTGATACTGTTCCAATTGAATAACATTATTATAAATGAAGTTGTCCTCATTGCCATTCTAAGGGACATGTTGATATGACTTGGGAAACCATACACTATTTTCAATGGACATGGCAAAAAAAGGTTCAATTATATATGTTCAATAGATGTGGAATGGTGATGGAAAGTGCATTGAGCAGGCTGAAATCCCATTGGCACTACCCTCAAAACCATCCGGAAGTCAGTGGCAGTCTGCATTATCGTGGCTTGCAGCACTCTCACCAGTGTCTGGGGAATGGACTCAAGGCACTGCTGGATGAGTGAACTGGAGAACAGCCAGTGTACGTACTGCCTGCTTACTGTGTTTCCACTTTCCCATTTATGACAAAGAATGAAATGGTATTTGAGGTGGTTCTGTGATGAGGATGGACCAGCAGTGGGAAGATTTTTGTAAATGTGTTGTATCGTGTATGGACTCTGCAAACACTTTGATAAATGTATGGAGATGACACATGCATTTTATCCATACTGTCGTTTGCAGTTTGAGTTGCTAAATTATGGTCATGAAAGTTTCAGATTGGGCATGGGATGACACTCATTACAGTTTGTGCCACTTTTAGCATTGCAAATAATAACACTTGCACTTGTAGCCTTGTGTAAATTCAATGAGTAACTGGCATTTATTGAAATAATGTGGCATCTGGGGGAAGGCAAAGTGTCAATAGAGAAGTGATATGCATTCTACCCTGAAAAAATCTCAGCTTGAATGAATAACTTCATAGGCCCATAATCTGGAAATCCATCCCATTATACATAGATAACAAACACAGCAACAGAAATTAACCAGGTTTTCAGCACTTGTTTTGATGACAGTTCTGCAGGAAGCTGCTCTCTGGGACATTCCCCAAAGAGGTCCTCAAAGTATGGACCCAGGTTGTGCTGTAGCTTCTTTGGCATCACAGCCTCTTCAGTTACCAGCCTCAGCACCAGAGTCACTTCTTGTTTTTAATCCTGCAGCTCAGTGGCCTCCGATAATACCTGTGAGGGAGAGATTATAAAATCACAACTCTCCCTCAGTGGTGTGTCATGCACTGGTGGTTGAGTGCTTGATGCAGTGACCGGTACGCATTAGTATTTCTTATACAAGTTAAGAAAATGGGGAGTTTCAGGAGGTGCTAGTAGCATCCTTGGTTCAATGATAGTTTAATTCAGGTGCTTAATTTGCTTTCTGTATTGTTCTGCTGTCCAGTTGATCTGTAGTTCTGCCTGTCATGTCAATATAATTTTGTAGATGAGATTACTCCTTATGCTCTTACTGAATGTATTGCTTGCTATGCCACAGAAGATAAACAGAAGTCAGCTCTGTTTCTCTGGTTAGCTAGTAGTGTGCCTGACTTCCGCTGGTTGCTGGCCATAGCCAGTGCAAATCAGTGTTGCCTGTGTTGTTTCCATGTGGTTGCATTTGAATCAGGTGGTTGCCTTGGGTTCAGGAGAATGAATGTAAATTTTGGGATTGAAGACTGGGAAGCACAGCGTAGGGTATTGTGGGATAGCATTGGCAGACTCTCCAGACTTGAAGTCTGGTGATTGGACTTGTGTTCCCAATGCAAAATGACTGGGTTCTGACCTATGTCACAGCACTATTCTGACCACGGGTCCAAGTAAAGCTAATTTCTGTGCAAATGGAAAGGGCATCTTGGGCTTAAACCTGAGCCCAGATTTAGTGTGTTATGTACACTGCACATATGTATACCATCAAGGACTGCTGTGCAGTAGCTTCATTGACAGAAGTTTAGAGCAGAAAATTTGGGGAACATGGTTAGTGGGTCCATCAGCCAACATCCCCACTTCTCTTTTTCCTGGCTTTCTCCAGCCCCTTTCCCATCTGATGCTTAGGAGTGTTTGTACTGTATACATTTTTTTTCTTGTCTTCTGTTAGAGAGAAGCACTTATTGGATCAAGCTGCTGAAAACTGCAAAATAGCCAAACCTGCTGGCCCTCATCTATGTGCACTGCCTCTGACAATAAGAGTGTTGTTTGAAGTTTTCCTTTGTTCTGTCCTCACATCTCTCAGTATGTGAAATATTTCCAGTATAATAACCAGGCTCCACTTCAACATTAGCATTAGTTTTTGTGTGTAAGTTCGTGTATATTTCAACACAGCACTTAAAGGTCTTTAAGTGAAACTCTTCCTGTATGTTATGCTACTCGTGAGTACTGTGGATCCCTACAACTATTTCATCAGTGTTAGGAAATCCTGTTTACGGTCCTGTCTTAAGTAAGCACGAAGAACCACAGCTTGCTCAACTACAAAATCATCAGAGTTGCACTGACATATTTGGGAACTATATTAAATAACTGCATGACATGGGAAATTGCTGGCGCATGAGGGGAACTAGAGGCAAGAATAACCTATTTTACATTACAGTGAAGTACTGGGCATAATAATGCTGAATCATCTCTCCAACTGGAGTTTGTTTATCATGATAGCTTTGTTTTTAAATGTAGGCTATGAGCAGCCTTAAATCAGATTGTGAATCATACTTTCTTCTCCATTTAGATATTTTTGTTGATGCTGCTCACATCTGAGACTAAGCCTGTCCATTTGTATTGATGTGGACGCTACTGCTCATTCAGATCTTTCAAAGACTGACTTCAATTTCAGTCAGTGGCCAGGATGATCACATGCCGACAAAAAGTTCTCACCCTGTTAAAATGGTGGAAAGACTCTCTTCAGATGTGCAAGGGAGTACTCTTCTCTGTGCTTGTGCCTACCAAGACTCTACCTGTCTGAATTTTGATATTTTATTGTGCAAAACAACCCAATAGAAATCCTGTAGAGAATTGTACAAAGATACCAGTTAAAAGACAGATGTCAACTGATTTGATGCACCTCTGTAGATATGTAAGGGAGAGAGTGCATGTTGGGCCCTTTCTTTCCCCTTGCTTGCTGCCAGTATTGTAGATAGCAGCGTAGAAGAGAGAATAGCTTCCCTGAGGTTCCTAATTCATCTCCTGTGTAGGTGGCCAGGGAGCAGGCAGAGTGTTGGGTGTTCCCATTCAGTGAATCAGTCAGTGGACCAGGACAGATAATCAGTTCTAGAGTCACAGATTGCTTCCCCCACACCCAACCCCATTCCACCTCACCAGCTACTGCTTCCCATTCTCTGATTTTAAATTGTACATTTTACCAACGCTTGTCCCTGAGTGTCTATAGCTTCAGGGAGGACACTTAAAATTCTGCGTGTACATGAGTGTGGACACAAAAGCAAAAGTAAATGTTTTTTTAATGGATCATTTTGTAATCAGGATTTTTGTATGATGTTAGCTTCAGAAAGATCTGAAAGATACTATCTCAGAGTAGTAAACTGTTGTAAATGACACATTCCCCTCTGTAAAGAGCTACCCATATTTTATTCTGAATGTCATTGTATGCCTAGAGACAGGGGAAAGAAACATCACTTAAATTATTAGTAACTACACTTTATACTTAGGTTTGACAGTATTCAATTTTTATTACAATTTCAGCAGATAATATTGATGATTTTCTCATGAAAGCTCATGATGCTATTTTTGCTCATCTTTAAGGTACCACAGAACTACTCATTTTTAAAGTTACACACTAACACGGCTATCCCGCTGAGATGTTTATTATGTCACAAGTACAGGAAACTGTGGGGACATCAGAAAATTTAATAGCAGTAAACAACGAGATTCAAAAAGTTAGTTTTATAACTGTTAAAAACACATATTGTCATCATCACTTCAAAATACACCATACAAATACTCTTAAATCAAAAATTGTGCCTGTTTTTATTGTTTGTTTACTAGTCCACTTGTAACATGACTAATTCAAAAGTAAAATCACTAGATTTTGCCCATAAACTCTTATGTTGTCTATATGCACATTTTGATTATTATCAATGAAAATATTTTTGTATCATTTATGGTGATTTTGACTGATAAAAATCTAACCCCTTCCAGTTGATATGATTTAGTGGATCAACAGAATAAACCACAAAATTTTAGTACTAAACTTGTAATATATGTGAAGATATAGGTTATAGTATTTGGTCTCTATCCTACAAATGATTACCTCTGTGTTTGTTTTCAGTGTCAATAATAAGGATACAATCAGTAATTCTGTTCTGTAGGATCAAGGCCTGGCATGTCAGTAGAAGATTTCTCAGACTGGGAGTCTGCTTAGTAGTTGTATCATCATTAAGTCTGCCTGTGGTAGCTTACATCAACCTACGGTCATCTGCAGTCAGATGTGTGATGCCAGAAGTGAAATGTGTATTTTGCTAATTCAGCACTTATACATAGCTTATTTTTTCTAGTATGCTTAGTAGTTTGGCAGTTGGATTCAAGGAGATCTTTTTTTTTTTTTAAAGATATCCAGTTTACTAGTTCTAGTTTATTTAGTTGCATTTCTCAGATTTTAATTGGTTTGGGTGAAATCCTAGGTCTCACTTTGAGGTCTGTTTGCTTTGTCACCAACTTCAAGGGAACCAGGATTTCACTGTTTCTCTTCTGAGCCCTCACAGTTTACAAATTCATCTATAGTATTCCATGAGTAAAACACTTTTTTTTTTTTTACCTTTAATTGTTTTAATAAGCATGCAGGCCTGGCTCCAACATGTACTTAAACTTAAGTACAAGATTATTCCCAGTGACTTTTGTTAAACTGCTTGTGTGCAAGTAAGCATACATTTGGCTGGATGGGGGCCATAACTAGTAGTTTTTGTAGTGTGTGTGTGTGTGTGTGTGTCAGAATCTAGATTCAATTA